CCCAAAAATTGCCCTAGAAAACAATCCGCCCGGTTCAAGACCTCCTGGAAGAACAACCAAAAGATGGAGGGATAGTTGGCAATCTACCTCCCAGGAAATTAACCAGGGGCAGCTTCACAATTAAACAGATCGAAAGATCTCCAAGAAGTAGAAGAAGAAGAAGAAGAAGGTTTTTCGACTAGAAAAGGGAATATATATAAACAGTCATTCGGAAATAATGTCATACTTGTCCAAATATCTAGCGAACGAGTAAAGTACCGGTAAAAGTTTTTAAAGAAAGTAAAGTAATTTAAAGTACAGTTATCAATCATCATAAATTAAGAAGTATACAACAAGAACTACTTTTTCTTGTTCAAAACCATAATATTTAAAACTTTCAGTTAAACGTTGTTTGAAATAAAAATAGAAAAGTACCTTAACCGTAACTTGCAGATTGGATCTTTAAAAATTGCGATAATTAAAGATATTAACTATTATTGCTTAGTGTGCGTCTCGTTAATTAAGTTTTTATAAATAATGATGAGTCGCGTATACGTAAAGACCTACTTTTTATCATGGTGAATTAGTTTCATTCAGATCCGGTAGGTTTTACGCTTTTTGATTCTGAAGATATTGTCAGATTCGAATATATGAAGATATTTTTTTCAAAAAAGGTCTCTAAACTACTTATTTTTGTTAATATATCGTAGTTGATGTATATTATATTAGTTTTAATCTCAAAATATAATCACAGTCCTATTTATTCTCGTTTTTGTCTTCTCTTCTAATTTGTTGAAATCAAATTAACTAAGTTTAGTTTCGGACGAGCCGTCGCGCCTCCACAACGAAAAGCTCAAAAATGACCAGAATGGATCTTAGCGATTTCTCATTGGATTTAACATGGGGAATAAGCCATAACAACAAAGATATGATTTTTTTTATTTATTCTGTAAATTCACGTTTGAGAGATGAGAGACGAAAAGAAGAATTGACGTCATCTTCACGTTTGAGGGATGACAGACGAAAAAGAAGAAGAATTGACGCAATTTTCACGTTTGACGTATGACAGACGAAAAAGAAGAAGAATTGACGCCATCTTCACGTGTGAGGGATGACAGGTGACATGACAGTTAACATGACAGTTGACAGCTGTTAGCCGCCATCTTGTTACGTCGTGGAGGGGGGTTGCCCAGGTGGCCCATACACTTGTTTGCACTTAAAAAAATCGGATAAAAAAATATCCATGAAATACAAATAGACAAAATAAGAAAAGGCTTAACAGCTAGAAAATGTTGGGTTATCTTTTTTTTTTGACCTGGCATCTAACATTTAGTCCAGGTGGGATTTCCAAAAAACAGTTTTTTTCTTAATACATTTTTATTTTCTAATACTTTTCTATATCTAAACAACTTACTAATCTAAGTATTGTTCTGAAGCTATTTTCTTGTGGCATTTCAAAGTAATTACTATTTAAATGGGAATAATGTTTGTATTTTGAGAACGATTTCCGAAGTGAAAATCGAAACGTCAATAAACGTACTTTAACCTTTAATTGTGGCTTATTCCCATTTAAATAGTAATTACTAATCTAAGGTTCTTAATATTCCCAATACTGACCTACGGATGTGAATCTTGGACTCTGAGACAATCGAAGAGAAGAAAGATAGACGCCACTGAAATGTTCTGTTAGAGACGAATGTTACGAATTCCTTGGACCGACCGTAGAACAAATAATTCAATTTTAAGAGAGCTAAAAGTTAGCCAACGACTCTCTAGTAAAGTCCATCTCCAACAATTAAAATATTTTGGGCATGTTATGAGAGCAAACACAGAAAACATGGAAAGACTCATAATACAAGGAAAGGTAGAAGGCCGAAGATCACGAGGAAGATCCCCAACAAGATGGATAGATCAAATTACAGGAATATGCCAAAGACCTATGCATGAATTAAAAGAAATGACCAGAGACAGAGATCTCTGGAGACGGACAATACACGACATCACGTCGACCACTACACTCCCCCTGGGGGGTCAGGATTGAAGAGAGAGAATCTAAGGTTCTACTCTGCTAAATTAAATCTGTTTTTGTTTTCAATAAGAATCAACGTCAATGTCAAATGTTTAACTGCACGAAAAACTATTATTCCATTTATGTATTAGCAGCCTGCATCCAAAACGTGAGCAGCTCCTCATCCTCAGATGCTGCCTGTCAGTAGGTATTTCCTATTTACTAACTAGCTAAAATAAACTAGGTCTAGTACAGTCGATTTTTAGATACGTTGTTTTCATCCATTGGCAATTCTGGTGAGCATTAGGCCCTTAGTCGAAAACTTTATCCAGAAAAGTTCATTATGCACCCAGAGTCTAGTTTTTACAGAAGTTTTACTATTTTATTTCCACTTTGAGATTCATTCTCTTATTATTTGATCCTATTGATTTTGCCTGGCTAAATTTGGTCTTGCAATGCTGAACGTGAGCCTTCGAGACCGCATAACAAACCAACAAATCAGGCAAAGATCAGGAGTTAAAGACGTCATCGAAAGAACCACGACGCTTAAGTAGAACTGGGCAGTTCACTTAGCCAATACGCAATATAGACGGTGGACAAGACGTATTATGGAGGCCCCAAAACTATAAAAGAAGCCGAGGACAACCACCGACTAGATGGACCGATGATATAAAACGTGTAGCGGGAAACTGGCTACAAGCTGCCCAGTGTAGAGAACACTGGAAAGAACTAAGGGAGGCCTATGTAAAGCAGTGGACGCGATTGGCTGATTGATGATGATGATGATGAAATTTGATCTAGAGTAGAGTTCAAGTTGTTTTCTGGAGACTCCATCTGCTAAGTCATTCAAGTAATGAAAAAGTTCCCCTTTATTTATTATTTTTTGAATATTTCTTTCTTCAAGTCTTCTTTTTATGTCTTCAATGTTCGTGTACTTCGTGAATTCGAATAGTGCATGGTCAGGAATCCAAATTTCTCCACACTCGCATATAGCATTCCCTTTTAAGTAATCCTTTGCAGACTGCTTGTGTATGGGCCGTGTCCCATCAGAAAATATACTAACCTAGATTTTGGATTGAATTACTCTGATATGTTATCAAGTCTTGGTAGATAATTCTTCTTGCTTTTTGTGAATTTTCCCAATCATATTGCTATTTCTGCATTATGATTTTATATATGTCTTTCCTAGATCTTGCATTTCTTCCTAGTATTTCTAATACTTTGTCATGCATCGCCTTCTTTGCGTTTCCAAATGCAGTGGCAAAACTCCTGTGAGCACACAGAGAGCTTGTATCTCGCAGTTGTGCCAAAGTCCCCTGTCATTCTGACTAGAAAGCCTCTTTGTGCTCTGTCTATTTTTTCTTTATTCTATTTTTTAACCTGTGCGCCCATGCACTCGCACCTTACCCAACTATCGAGGCGAGTATCGTACTCAGGTATGTTCTTACTTGACTAAACGGAATTATATATTTCCTTTGCGCCAAATTTGCAATTTTCATCACCCTGGTTGGTTTTCACATACAGTATTTATGTGCTTTGCAAATAGTCTTAGTTTATCTATTATGATACCAAGATATCTTGCAGTAGTCCATCTTTTTATCGGTCTTCCATCGATCAGTTTTATTTGATCTCTTTCCAACCTCCCTTTAATTAGACAGTATGTGATTTTTATATGTAATGTAATATGTCGGTAATGATAAATACCGACTTCTACAGTTGACTCTACAGGGCAAGATTGAGGGTAAGAGAGGCCCTGGACGTAGACGTATATCCTGGCTGGCCAATCTTAGGAAAAGACTGGTCTAACGTCAACTGATCTATTTCGAGCTGCTGCGAATAGAATAAGATAGGTCAATGTGGTCGCCAACATCTGTAGAAGAAAGGCACATTGAGAAAATTGTAAGCTTGACTTTATTAATCCATATGCTTACTTCCCCTAATACTTTATTCGTCTTTTCTTCAACTTGTCTACTTAAGTTCGCTTCTATTATAAGCATTAGGTAATCCGAATAAGAAATGCATCCCGGCACTTCAGGAAGCAAAGTCATCCTGTCAAGGAGCTCTTCCAATATAATTTCTCAAAATATGGAATCGCAGACAGATTCCTGAGGGCCCTTTACATACCTAACCTGACACTAACTTCTGAAACTTCCGTACAAATCCCCGGGACATCGCATGCCTCGAAGTCTTTTGAAGAAGGCAAGCCACCAAAGCTTGTCGAAAGTTCCAGAGATGTCTATAGAGACTGTCAGTACAGACTTATCCATGATTGTATCTACAACTTGAAATGCCACTTATATATCCATACTAATCTGGATATAATCCTATTTGTGAGATCGGCGGGTTGTTAGGACAGCGGAAGAAGATAGAATCACTTCAGAATTATTTAAGTTTGTAGTAGCTGTTCGCAATCCATCAGATAATAATTGCTTTGCAAAGCGCCATAGCCACATGGATCATCTTCAGCATAGCCTAACTTTTGCAGATTGTATTTTACGACGACACAACTTTAAGCTGTTTGACAGCTTCTATATCATTTAAATGTAAAGCAAATAACTGTGTTTGTGACGGATTTGGCTTCAGGTGGTTTCGTTCATAGTAAATTTTCAGTTTACCGAGTAATCTTGAAAGTTTGCCCTTTATCTTTGCAAATGATTAATTTTCCTGGTGCAGCGATGGCCGTGTCATCTGCGTATATGAATTGTTTCATGATTATACTGACTAGTCGTTTGTGTAGATATTGAATAGCAGTGGACTACCCTTGGCCAATTCATTTTGTCTGTTTTGACTTTGGAGTATTTCATAAAACTGATGGGTCTGCAGTATACGCTGTATAAGGTTGGATATATACCTTCTACATAAAAAATAAGCTAAAAGGAGATAAAACGTTCAGCAAGTAAACAGAGCCTCCATTCGTATTTCCGGATTAGGGCTATTTCGTCTTTTATGTTAACAGATATATTTATATATACAATTTGGCTTCCTCGTATATAATATTGTTTCTATTTTCCAGGTAATAAATTGGATTCGCCATGACTTACAAGTAACCAGTCGAGAGCGAAACCCCCAATTCTGTGGAAGTCCTCCAAGGTTCAGGGACCGCAGTTTTTACAGTATTCAACCCGAAGAACTATCTTGCTCTGCCAAAGACAGAACCTCGACCACCACCACCAGTACTAAACCTACCATACAAAAGAAAAAAGATACCGAGGAAGAAAAACCTAAAGAACCTGTGGGGGTCGCTACCGTCATAAGCGCGGATTTAGACGATTTGGTAAGTAGAATTATTTTTAATCAATTTACCCTTCTCTGTGTTACGTTCTCTAGAAAACTTAGATAAAGAGAATTAATAAGTGTTTTGGTGTCCTTTTTTCATAGAGAACATCAAGACAGTACTCTACTTAGTCTACTTGGTTAATTTATGTTAGTAAATCAAAAAATACTAAACAATATATAATGGTATTGTATAAGCGGATGGACAAACAAACAAACCACTCAAAAGATTGTTTTTCATTTTTATTTCTATCAAATTTGCTATTTATCCATTGCCATTGTTCCATAATATTTCCAAAGACCTTCACTACATTTAGTCTAATTATTCGTTCTTATTCTTTTGTAATCTCATGGTGACCAATATAATTTTCTGTTTTGTTCAATCGTTTTTCACTTTTTTAATCCACCTTAAATTTCTTGAATTTCGATTTGGATCTTTCAATTTTATATTTGCCTTTCCAGCGATCTTATTATATTTGCACTGTGACCAATATTTACCACAGTAAGCAGTCAGTTGTGTAAAGCATTGGGTTTACTGACCCCAGATCAATGAACATCAATGTAGAATGGATAATTTCAGTAGACAAAGTATTGAAGCAAGAAGACGGGCTGGCACTAAAACATTATTTAATCTGGTTCTCGAATATGTGATAACCCGGCTAAATATAGGAAGAGCTAATCTCATAACAAAATTAATCAATACATATTTCCGTCTATGCCGGTGGCACCAGCATTAAGTCTCGAAGAACGGAAGAGGCCGCAGAAATATATTCACAATGAAAATTAGGGGCAAAAGAGACCAATCTAGGAATAAATATTCAAAAGACAGAAAAGCTAACACAGGCAAGATCTAGGGGAAACAGCAACTGTAGAAAGTATACATTATCTGGGAGGTGTATTAAGCGCAAGAACCAGAAATACAAAATAGAATAGTAAAGGGAAACAAAGCTTATTTTTCACCCATGTGACACTTAAAAAACACACACTGGAGATTGAAAATCAGGGTCTACAAAACTATTGTCAGACCAATAGTATGATGTTATGGATGCGAGGTACGATGATGAAAGTCCTAAGGAAAACCTTTGGACCTATTAACGAAAACGAGTATGGAGATCCATGTACAACCATGAACTCTACCAACTGTTCAAATAGGCACCGATCTCATAATTCGTTAAACTTCAGAGATCTCATAATTCGATGGGATGGTCATGTAGTGAGAATGGAGACTAAAAGATTGTCAAAAAGAGCCCCTATATAGTAAAATGCAGGGTGGAAGACCAAAAGTATGCGTGGAAGAACGTATAAGCAAAATCGCTCTAATACTCGCTGATTGTTTTTATGGCTTTTGAATGAACAGGATTTGTGGTCCCACACAGCGAAGCTGCACTCAAGACTCTGAAATCTACAACGTATATGTGTGTACCAGTTTGGAACTGCATAACATCCCTTAAGAGACCGGCGAAGCACAACCAAACACCTTTGTAATAAGTGCGAATGAGAACTGCGGCTGCAAAAGAAACAGACTTAACTACTCTACATCTATGACTAGTCCAGCAAACCTAGGCTTCTAAGAAACTAATTATCGATTAAAGGAATATATTTATTACTTGGTAAAGTTCTTAAATGACCTTATCAAGGTACGTACACCGTTAAGAAACAGTTTCAGACAATATGTCCGGACGTTTCCTTTGCATATTCGCAGAATCTGCATGTAGCTCTATCCACTTTACCCATTTCATAAGATTGATAAGCGGTGTTCAGTGAGGACACCTGTAATTATTGTAAGATGAGTCTTTTGAAGCTTCAAAAGTATTGTCACGTAGCGAGCAGAAGGTTGTAATACCATTTTCCTTGACTTTGGTCTAAATGTTTTCCAGTAGTTATACAATAGTTACACAAATGTTCCCTATCCAATTTTCGGAGATCTTGCACTATACGGGTTTTTGGTACAGCGAAGATTGGTTCTGGTTCGATCAAATAATCAGAAAACAACAAAATCAGTTGGTAGCGGTTCTATTTGAAATAATATATGAGTATTTTCGTACCATGGAACTATTGTTAATAGATGGAAAGGCAGAAAGCCGAACACTAAGAGGAAGATCTCCAAGTATGCGTAGACCAAATAAAGACTCTGGTGAAAAATCCTACTTAAAGCCGTCCATATGGCACAGGATCGCAGCCAATGGAGACAGTAAGCTAATAATATTTAGAGTGACACTACGACCTAACAAGGGCTCAAGAAATAAGGAGAGAATTTCGTAATCTGTGTAGAGTCTGGTGTTGGGAACAGAAACCCCTATTTCAACTCCCTCCTGGATTTCTGATCCATCAGTGTAAAACATTAAGACACCTCTTGTAATTTGTGTGTGATTTTGATTTCTTTCAACTCAAATTCGTTTATGATAATATATAATTTGAGTACCAGAAACTTAACATTTAACAATATTCATTTAGATATATCTAGAAATTTAATGTACCCATTCAGATTCTTCATTTTTGAATATTTTTTACCAATTTATCTATTCATATTACAGATTCAGGCCAATCCAGAACTTCTACCGTCTACCTCATCAACCACAAAGCAACCATTCACAAAATCTACACCTGTCCAGAGCAGCACCTCGGTAACCACGAAAGTAACAACAGTGTCTTCAACTACTACCAAAAGCACTACCAGTTCTAAGCTAAAAGCTTCGATACCGTGGAAGAATACCCAGAAACCACCAATGGTACTCGCGTATCCGACACGGGGAAAAGCTGATGAAAGTAAAGAAGTGATAGTAAAAAATGCATTCCGACAAGATAGTTCCGTAATCATTCAGTGGGGTTCCGAAACGGCTAATATTCTCGGATTTAGGGTTGTTTATCGACTATTTGGAGATAAAAGTTTCAAACAGGGACCACCTTTGGAAGCCAGCGAGAGAGAATTTAAGATCAAGAATGTACCATCACAGGTAAGCAATGCATTTTAAATTAAAAATTACTTAAGTAAATTAATCAGTTCCACCACACAGACAATTTGTTGTTAAGATGAATCCTGGATGAAAATATAACAAATAAAAAAATAAAATTAAAGACCTAGGCGACTGGTCAAAGAGGACTATGGTGCGCCACCCTCCCTAGAAAAGTGATGTACATCCAATTAATTATATATAATATTTTCATATTTATTTTTCACACTTTTCTGTTAAAACTTTACTCCATTAAAATATATTTACCTAACCAAACTAAATTTTACGATAGTTATATATGTTATAAACGTCCGCACTATATTCAGAGCTGATTTCTTTAGGCCCGATAAAGGTATTCGGTTACGATGGAAACTACACGCAATGACCAAAAACTTTTCGAAACACATGGTTTTACAACAACAGAGCTAAGCCAATTATATGGGCATTCTGAATGGAGCCCCAAGATCAAACTTACCATTCGATTGGTTAAGTGTAAAGGTAGCGGTATACAATCATGCACGTATAGTTTCCGGCACTGTAAAATAATAAGGTAATGAGAGCGTTATGTGAAGGTAAGGAAAACGCTGTCACGAAATGAAATACACAATAGATCCTCAAGGGATGCTAACCCTGCGAGCGGCTGCAAGGAATACTGGTCACACTGGTCTGGAGGGCTGGCTCGTCTTCGTGGATTTACGAGAAGATAAGGGATTTCGGGATAGGGGTAAGGACTCCTAGGTCTCAGGTCCTGTAAAGAGTAGAGGTTATGGGCTTACTTTTGAAGCCGGAGATATGCATACGCAGAATCTCGTGTTCTCCTAGTCTCTAGTGAGTCGGACGAAAGGAACATTAAAAAAAACCAAATTAGAGTCAACAATATATTGAATCTACCCTGAAGTTACTAATACAATCGTTAACACGTTATTCTGCGCGTCGGGAGACGATGTAGCAAGATAGTGAAGAGTTGACAGTGGTACTAATATAATTACACAGGTTAGTATAAGAAATCTGTTACCTTATGTGTATATTAGGGCTTCAACCACGACACGTTCAGTCGTCTGGAACTCGGTCAGTTGAGGGTTGCGAACTTTCGAGCTGCCACAATAACCGGACTACACGCGAACTCTGCCAGATGATACCCGGCCCCCGGAGAATCACCGATTGTCCCGCGTACTGGACGCTCCCGGAGGCAATTACTGCCTCGGGCAGTCACAGCTGCCGCTACTACGGACCGCGTCCGCCGTATTACTAATACTGACTGACTGACTACTGACTTGGCTGTCCCCGTTTTCTAGTTTTTATCGAATGGTGTCCTCATTGACCGGTTATAGTCCAAGGTTGTGTTTTCGTTGAATTGTGGGTCCTATATTGCATCACAATAACAGTTTTTTTGTTTGACGTGCTTTTCTATGTTTAAACAATTAACAAACAATGCAATAACTAGGTCAATTTATTTGTGGGATTTAAAAATGAAAATTTTACTGTAATAATTATCCCTTATTTGATTTGGAATATATAATAATTATCTCGAATAATTATTATCTTTTCTATGCTACTTAACCATTTAATTCAACTTCTCACTCACTTGCTACGCTTACATTACAGCACGTAGCGTTTCCAGTCCAGCAATCGGACAGCGCGTTCAAATTTTCATACATGGAACCTTTCAGTTTGGTGCGGTGAAGATTGTGTTCTTGCTTTTCGCGACAAAAATTCATTATTAGCATTCACACTAAGGAACAACTTTAAAATATTTTTTCAATCTGCTGCTGGAAAACTTGACTGGCAACAATAATTCCTATATATTTCGCGTAATTAATACATTTTAGAGGGATTAAATATTTGTGGTATTATTTGATACCTATTTACTATTCTGTCCTAATTTGAGTGCGATTTCCCTCCAAATATTTTCTTGTTTATTTGCATAATGATAGCATTTATCATTGTAATTTTATAAAATTTCTTCACCGCGTCCGAGTTCAATTAATTTTTCGAAATTCATTTTAACTTGTACTATCAAACTGTAAATATTCTAATTAAGATTAAAAAAAGAAGAGGTATCACTTCCGTGCAAAAGTCCTAATTGTTTATAACTTTCGTGTTAAATTGTCACAAAGCAGTGAAAACACATTCATAAATGACAAAATATCCTCGAAAATTATTTTTTTAAATACTGAATCACAATCAAACAAATACCTAAATAAACAACGAGGGGAAAACGACGGACTAATTCACATTATCCGTACCAAGAGGTTACGACTCGTTACGTAGCCGTCGGCATTCGTAAAATATTGTTTTTTATATGAATATTCTGAACGGATACGTAAGGTGTCTGATAAGCTACGTTCCTGACAGTGTCAATTGTTCATATTTAAAACCATTTAAATTATATTTTTCGGAAACTATACGCTACGGGCTGGAAACGCAACGTGCATGATAATATGCCACGAACTTTATACGTAGATACATACTACATAATGGTTTTGTGCTAATGGTAAGTTGAAATCTTAAGAAATAACAGGTGTGTATTAATGAAACTAAACTTTAGTTGTTTGAGTTTGGCAGGCAAGGTAGATATTTAGGAAAATGAACAACCTATGCCGGTATTGAATTTAAGACAAGTGCAACGTGGTTATAGAAATCGAGCGAAGTTTAAGTAATTGTTCTTGAGCACATGTTCTTTGTTTTCATGTATTACAATATTAGTCCAGTTATCAGAGATTTGAGCCCTCAAAATTATACGAACAAGATGAATTTAGCCGAAAATATCAATTTTAAAAACCCAAAAAAGATGCAAAAAAGTTTACTACTTTTGCCCCCAGGCTTCACCCTAAAACCTCCTCGTAGAGGGGTAAAAAAAGCAAAAAAATCGATTTACCAAGAATCTGTACACCATAGCAAAAAAATGTTTCAAATGCAAAATGTAGCTGAGATAATTTTGAATAAAAATATTTATTAGCACTTTTGTGTATACTGAACCGTTCTCTCAGAAACAACGCTTGAAGCGACCCGCGATTTTGATGGACAGTTGAGCGCGCAAAATCAATGTTTAATAAAATTTGTATCAACTCGGCGGTAGGAGGGGACTTTGAGGTATAACCTCAGGGGTAAAAGTGGTAAACTCTTTTGCAAATTTTTTGGCCTCTTAAAATTGATATTCTCGGCAAAATTCAGCTTTTGTCAGTGGCATTTTCGTCTCTGACGACTGGAGTGTATACAGAGTGGGCGGACAAAAACGAAACAGAGGCCTTATCAGGAACTACAATATTATTTAAAAACCTACAGACATGTCAATTTTTTATTTAGTTTTCAAGTAATATCGATTATTTGACTTTAACTCCTCAGCCAGGGTAAGAATCGCCCCAACATGTTTTAATAGCAATGGTGGTTAACTTAGATATTGTTTGAAAACCCTTGAAATTCCTCGAAACATATTAGTTTTTAATGTTTTAAATTCGGACCAGTACTTTATTGGAATTATTGGAATTTATTGGAAGCTGGTTACTTATTTCTTAGTTGACCAAATAGTGAAACTAATGACCTCCGGGGTTAAAAAAATGGTAAAGGTTTGTTTGAAGCGTTCTTCCACATTTGATACTGCCTCTCATCCGAATCGAATGCTGTGGAAAATGTTGATCTAAATATTGCCGAACATATAAAGCATAGTACGGAGGAGCACCTCTTCTTCTTCTTGTGTACTGCTCGATTATCGTGCTATAAAATTGGCTATACTAATTTTGTTGACGGCAGTTCGAATGCAGAGTATCCGTTAAAACCATTATCTAAGGTTTTTAAGCCGAAAAGTTCGTCTTCGGACTGGCTCTCTTCTTCCATCTATCCTGCTTTGTACTATTAAATAAATTTATTTCAACAGGAGCACCGTCTTGTTGAAAAATCAAATGATCTTTATCATTTTCTGTATCAGTCAAGGCAGAATTAATCACGTCTTCCAGGAATTGTCAATACATTTCGACAGTCAAATTGCCAGGTAAAATAATGGTGCCCATATATATATATATATAATATATATATATATATATATATATATATATATATATATTATATATATATATATATATATATATATATATATATATATAATATATATATATATATATAACCAAAAAGATGATAACGGGTACGAGTACTATGTAGTGAAAAGGAGATAATACTGGGAAGTACCCTTTTATAACTGAGGAAGCAAAATAAAACTAGGGTGCTTCGTTCGATGTGCTTTTAATTAAAGGTCTAAGCTTTCGTCAATGATTATTGACATCATCAGAGTAAACCTAATTCTAGCAAGTAACTCAGTGACTTGGGTTGAACACAAAGAAAGTATTGTCTATGTATATATTAAACCTAGTTGCAGAAATGGTATCCATAGTTTACAATGTGTATTTTTACTTAATTATATAATATTAAGATAATTATAATAACCGCAAACAATATATATATAATATATATATATATATATATATATATATATATATATATATATATTGTTTGCGGTTGTTGTATATTCACCTCGTGAAAAAAAAATATTCGGTGGATCGGTACTTGCTCGCTAGCTGATTATTTTACAAAACTGTAAACGGCGATTGTATTCATCCTCATTAAGTTTCTGCACTCTAAGTGTCTTTTATATGGATAGAAGTTGTTCTTGTTCAAAACGTCCAGACGCTAGTTTGGTTGATTCGAGATACAACTGATACTTGCCTCGTAATTAACACGGAATTTAGGTAAACATGTCCTAATACTGCATCTCCACTAGGTTCATTTGCTACAGGCCCTTCAGTTACTCGTTTTTTATTCTCTACATTCCCAGCTTTCTGCAGAACGATTTGCAGGTCATTTAGAAAGCACTTTCAAACCCAACGACAATGGTGGTGAAGAACTGAGATGAGTAGAATCATTCCAAACCGAAGAAAGAATAACGTTGATATCATTTAGAGAAGCATCAACAGAGATAAAAGAGAATATATCCTATGAAAGCTCCAGAATAT